CTTTAGACTCCTCCCTCTCCTAGTTTCTCTTCCATTTTCATATATACATATTAACAAATAGTTTTATATATCCACAAAGAAATAGGGATATCAAATTAATAAGAACATGTGACATTTGTCTTTCTGTATCTGGATTTGCTTCAGTTATCATGATGATCCCATTTAGACACATTTTTCATTAAATGGCATGAGTTTCATTCTAAATGAAACTTTATGACTAAATGATACATTTTCTTTGTCCATTCCACTATTGAGTGACTCTTAGGCTGATTCCATAGCATAGCTATTAGGCAGAGCACAGTAATAAATGCGGGCATGTAGGTATCTCTGTGGTATGTTGATTTAAAGAATGAATCAAAGATTTTAATATAAGAGTTAAATTTCTGAAATTTTTAGAGGCAAATATCTCCCACGTATAGGAATAGGCAAGAACCTCCTGGAAATGATTCCAATTCTTCAGTAAATATAACTGAGAACTGGTAAGTAGGCTTATGTGAAATTAAAAAGGTTATGTACATCAAAGGAAATAAGTAAAGAGATGGTCTAGAGAATGGGAGAAAACATTTACTCACTATACACCTGATACAGGCTTAACATCAAGAACATATAAAGAACCCAAAACTGTAGGCACCAAAAAAAAAAAAAAACACACAGTCAATAAATGGAACTAATGAAATTAATAGATGTTTTCAAAAGATGACATGCAGACGAAAAAATAAACATGAAAAATTTTAAACAACCTTAGCCAAAAGGAAATGCAGCTTAAAGCTACATTAAGATTCCATCTCACTTCAGTTAAAATGGCTATCATCAAGAAAGTAACTATTGACAAATCCTGGCATGTGTGTGAGTGTCTCAATTACTGTTCCATTACTGTGAAGAGACATTATGACTAAGGGAATTATAAAAGAAAGCATTTAATTAGGGGCTTATTTATAGTTTCAAAGGGTTAGTCAGTGACTATCATGATAGGAAGCATGATGGCAGGCAGACAGGCATGAGAGCTTACATCCCGTCCCACAGGTAAGCAAGCAAGAGAGAGACTTAGACTGAGCTTTTGAAACCTCAAAGTCCAAGCCCAGTGGGACACCTCCTCCAAGGCCACACCTCCTAATCCTCCCAAACAGTTCCACCCACTTGCAAACCAAGTGCTCAAACTTATAGGACATAAGGGCCAGCCTCATTCAAAACATCTAGGAGCAGGAACATTATGTAGTGTTGATGGGAACATAACTTGGTCCAGCCACTATGGAAGTCAATATGGAGACTTCTAAAGAAACTAAAAGTAGAATTACCACAGCACCCAGCTGTACCACTTCTTGGCATATGCCCTGAGTGAGGTTCACCTGAATTATTCAGTATTTGAAAAGTAAATCATGGAACTGGAAAATGCTAGGAACTCATATAATATTTAGTGATATGTTTATGAGTCTTGTATAAATTGAAAATTGATGTGATAGTAATGGGTTATGCATGTCTACATAAATATTTATAACTTATTCTCTCTAAGGAGGTTATCAAATGTCCCAAGAGAGTTCATACTTGAGTTAAACTCTAGTTTAGCTCAATATAAAAATAGAAATCTCCAAAAAGTCCATTCAAAATTATGTGTATCCCCACCAAATTCTCCAAAATCATTAAAAATAATATTCAAAAGAAACAATAAGGTTAATAACCAAACTCATAGATATAGCCTCCAATAGGTAAGCCCAAATTGGGCAGAGGTTAAAGACAACCAAATGTCCTTTAACCAAATTCATAGCAAATTAAAGATCAAAGAAATAAGAAATGGGAATAAGTAGATGGTGCAGTCAATAAGATTCTTGCCTTGCAAACACAATGACTGACCTGAGAGTTTGGTCCCCAGAACCCAGGTAAAATAAATACCCAGGAATAATGGTGTGTGCTTGTAATCCCAGTACTGGAGAGGTGGATACAAAAGAATCTTTGTGACTTACTGGCCAGGCAGCCTAACCTACTTGGAGAGTTTCAGGCCAATGAGAGACCCTATATCAATTGATAAAAGCTAGACAACATCCGAGGAAGACAACCAAGGTGTTCTTTGATCTACACACACACACACATACATACACACACACACACACACACACACACACACACACACACACACACACACACACACACGCGCGCGCTCGCGCAAGCATGTATGCACACATGTACATGAACACACACTAAATGAGAAGGAATTCTTTTTCATTCATAAATTTATCTCACTCTTTTCCCCACATATTTAAGCATGTAGAAAGCCAGATCCTTGAAAACTGCTCTGACCCCCTGTCTTGCAAGGGGTCCTGGCACCCTGAACCCCATCCTACTTCCTCCAGCACTGTCACAGTAGGCAAGGCTGCTCATAGGCCCTCCCATGTCTGGATGCATCAAGGCCCTGTAAAGGCTCTGCTATGTTAGGGTGGGCTCAGATTCCTGATCACAGTACACCTGTTTTTATTCCTGGATGACCTGAAGAAAATGACATCCTCTCAGTGCCTCAGTTTCCTATGAAGGAAACAGAGAAAGTGAACTTTTGTTGTTTCTTCAGGCACTTAGAATAGTGTGGAGCCCACCCCAGCAATAAAGTTAATCCATCCAGTGTGCTGTAATGATGACTCACCTGACAAAGTTTAGCAACCTTGGCCTGCCTTATCCCTGACTGCTGTGGAATGACCCAGGACCAGGTGGTCAGGGATGGCCAAGGGGGCTGTCATTGCTAGACTGAACTCCATAAGTGTAACCATGGAAACTGAGCTGCTTCCCTGGCTCCTCCCTCAAGCTCCCTTTCTTATGCAGCCATGTCTGTCCTTTGCTTTTGTCCCTCAGCCAGAATCTCAGCCACTCTCAAATCTAACCCTCCAATAGACTCCATTTCTTCAGCTTCTGATACACAACCTTCTCTATCTTCTAGAAGGAACTGAGATGCTGTCTTGGAAGCATGTCTTGGGTTTCTGTCTGGGAAATACTGGGCTAGATTCTTTTCACCTTACCTCCTTGGGCAGGCATGGGGGGCCCTTCCCATCTCACCTCCAAAGACATGGGCCAAGTGGAACGAATCTGTTCCCTATGTGCTAAAATCTCAGGTGTAGCCAGGGGCTCTTCTAATGGGGCACCTGTCTCCCACCCAGTGCCTCTGGCCCCTGAAGGAGGTTGTCTCCCTTCTCACCGTCATGCAGCTAGGGCTATCTGGACCATTCTTGTCTTCCCTCCCAGCCCTACTTCACTACCATGGGGGTAGCTGGTTTCTCTTGAGCCATGGGGTCTTGGCCAAGTCTTTTAGATTCCCTCCCCCTGGCCTCAGTTTCTCAATGAGAGAAAGAGCTCATGGGATGAGTCTTGGTCCCTTTCTCATCAAAGCCAAACTTTCTCTGCTTTTATTCTACAAGGTTTTTCTGTTTTTCCTTTCTCTTGATCCTCCTCATCCCCCTCCTCCTTCTCCTCCTCTTCTTTTGACAGGATCTCACTTTGTGGTCCAGGATGCCCTGAAACTTATTACAGAACCAAGGTGGCCACCTCTGAGTGCTGGAGTTCCAGATGTGTGCCACCATGCCCAACTTTCTCTATTACCAATGAACACTGTCCCAGTTTGTATGTCCATATTAAGCTGCTAATATACCCTTAGATGTCTCCTTATTCTGGAGTTCTTTTTATCAGAAACAGAACAGCCACAGCAGTGACTGCTGCACCCACAACCCATCTGGAGCTGTAGTAGTAAACACATCCCAACCAAAAGAAGCCAAATGAAGGTTGCTAAATGGCTCAATGGCATAGCAGATAGTCAGGGTCTTACATGTTCTTAAGAAACAGAAGGCAAGGAGCTGAATAGTGGTCCCCAAAAGACAAACCCATGTCCTAGCCCTGGACCTGTCAATGTGTCTCTATTTAGAAAAGGGAGTCTTCAGATATGTGATTAAGTCAAGGATCTTACAATATGGTTAGCCTGTATTTAGGATGGGCCTCATATTCTGGGGCAGGTGTGCTTGTAAGATATAGAAGGAGAAAAGGTCACATGAAGACAAGACACAGAGTCTAGAGGAGTTGGGGCCTCTGAAGCCAGAAGAGGGAGTGTGACCACACCAAAACTCTCACCTCTGATGCTGGCTTCCAGAGCTATGGGAGAACAGTCCCTGCTGTCACTTTCCTTGTAACATGGCATACCTCTGGAGTGGGAAACAATGTAAGTAGTGTGAGAACACAGGATTCCAGTGGTGAGAAGGTGTGCAGATAGATGTGCATGGGGGAGGAGGATGACAACCTACCCATGAGCCTGAGAAATGCCACTGAAGATGAATGGGAGAAAAGGAGGAAATATGGTGTCACCTGAAAAAAGCTCCAGAGACTCTGAGGACAAGGAAGTAGGACTGCATGTAGGGTGAGCCACATTAGAGCTAGCTTGGATCAGTCTCCACCACAAAAGGGACTGGAGGCCAATTCCACAGGATGAGAGTCAGAGATAATGATCTCTGCAGGCATAATTCTCTTAAGACCTCAGAAAAAAGAATGGGATAAAAAGAGAGAATGATCATCAACTGCATTACTCCTCCTCCACAGGAACAGACACCAAGCTACAATGACGTGAGGTAACCTTCATCGTGGGCTTGTACTTACCAACAAGGACTAAGGCACTCCTCTGAGGGACGAAGGACCTTGTCTAACTAGGTCCTAACCAGACTTAAGCCCTGGTTCCATTTTTGCATTTACCATAATAGTAGGGAGACAGGCTTGCCAAGATCTCAAGATAGTTCTGGGTGGGGCTTGTGTGCTTATGGACAAAGCCATGAGTCAGAGGTTTGCAGGGGGTTTCTGTCTGAACTCTTTTCCTGCTGGGGTGCTCTCTGTGGGAGAAATCAAGGGCCAGTCAGTAGGGGGTGACTACATGCCATGGTTACATCAAGGTCCCAATGGCTTCTTCTGGACCAGGCAAGATAGTTTTGGGAGAAGGCCCAGTTCAAGCTTGAGGGACATAGACAAATCCAGGTCCCAGCAGCCGGCTATTTCTTGGATGAAGATGCTGCCTGGCATTTGAGACTGAAGTACACATTTCAGACCTGGGTGTGCAACTCCTTCAGCTTAGCTCACAACTCTTCCAGGGCAAACAGCATTGGTAGTGTCTCTGAACCTTCAGTGTCTCCAGTACCAGCACCAGGTGTCCTACCTCATCCAAGAGAACCTCCAAGGTACCTGCTGCTCCTATTCCTTGTGCTGCTGTGTCTGGTGACTGCAGTAGTCCAGGACCAGGCAGCCTCTGCCCATGATAAAGATGGTGGCCTTACCTAGTAGCTCAGCACCAGGATCTGCCACCACCTCCTGGTCCAGTGGTTCAATGGCTGTGCCCCCGAAGTCTGTGATACATGTTTTGGTCTGCATCTCCACCTGGTGGTACAGGTGGGCAGATGACAGGAAGATGTAGGTTGTAAAGAACTCATTGCGGCAATGGGTGGCCTCCTTGATGCTGGTGGCCAGCTGCTTGCTAACCTTCTAGATGTCCAGGTAGAGCAGCTTTGCTGTGGATAATGCACATGCTCCCATCTTGGAGGTATTACCTGGAACATGCAATCTTGCTGACCTCTGTGGGAATTTTGATGTAATGCTAATGGATGCCATTGACAAAATTGAGCTTCTCATTTCTAGTAGCTTCTATCAAAGGAAAAGAAGTTTGAATGGAGAGCTTGAAGGAGCACAGAATTGCAAGATGATGAAGGAATCTTGAAACAGGGGAGAAGCTATCTTAAATGCCCTCCCCTGATAATGAAATTGATGACTGACTTAAATGCCATCTTGTAGCCTTCATCCAGCAGCTGGTGTAAGTAGAAGCAGACACCCACAACTAATCATTGAACTGAATTGGAATCCAGTTTCAGAGAAGAACAAGTGATGAGCAAGTGGGTCCAGACCAGGCTGGTGAAACCCACAGAAACAGCTGACCTGAACATCTGGGAACTCTGGCTCCCCAGACTGATAGCTTGGATACCAGCATGGGACTGATCCTTACCCCAGGAACATGGGTTTTAGTGAGGAGACCTCAAAAATCTATGGGACCTCCTGTTCAGTACTTATCCCTAGCATAGGTGTGGACTTTGGGAGCCCATTCCACATAGAGGGATACACCCTGAGCCAAAACACATGGGAGTGGGCCTAGGCCCTATCCCAAAGGATATGATAGACTCTAATGACCCCCTATGGAAGGCCTCACCCTCCCTGGGAAGCAGAAAGGATATATGATAGGCAGGGTTTTAGTTGGTGGGTGGTAGGGGAGGAGGGGAGGGAGAGGGAACTGGGCTTAATATGTAAAACAAACTTGTTTCTAATTCAAATTAAAAAATCTGAAAAAAATGTAGAAAGCAACATTTCCCCCATTGCAGCTGACAAGAACGGGAACCTAGAGCCAAAACGAACACCAAACACAGAGAAATAGCATCTCCCAAACTGTGTTTGTTACTTTTCTCCTTGTTGTGATAAATACCTTACAAGAAGCAACTTAAGAGACAGGCGTTTATGCCATCTCCCAGTTCAAGGGACTACAATCCATCATGGCAGGATTGTGAGGGAGCTGTTCTCAATGCACCTGCAGTCTTGAAGCAGATAATGAACAGGAAGTGGAGTAGGCTATAAAACCTGGAGCTCCAGCTCCAGTGATCCACTTCCTTCAGCAAGGCTCCATCTCCTAAAGATGCCAAACATTACCACTAGCTGGTGGGTCACATATTTAATGCATGAGCTTTTAGCCTACATTTCTGATTCAAATCACCTCGCCACTACTACAAGCCACACACACAGGGAGTGGCATGCAAATTAAGGGGCACCTTTGATTGTTTGTACTATTTTTTCTAACACTTCACAAGTGTGACCAAATAACATGAATTGTATATCAAATTTAAAAAATTTTAGCACTGAAGAAAAGATTGATAATTATCTCTCTAATGTGAATTAAAAATAATCATAGTAATTTGCATAAAAACAGGTGAGAGCCTCCCCCACAGTAATTTGTCTTGCTACATGACCTGTAAACAGATTACAGTTTCTCCTAAAATCCATCAGGATAACACTAATCTCAATTTACATCAGAATCTGATGCACATGGGCAAGCATCATCTTTTTTATATTATCCCAAATAATTCACCTTTGAAACACCTGAGTATGTACTATTCAATTACTATACTCTTTTGTTTGTAAATAATATAACAAAACAAAAGACAGTGTACATGATTCATATCTTCCTCTGTGTGGGGGGGGTGGGGGGGGAGGGTTAGCAGAGGTAAACATTGTTGTCTTCATCAACCACTCTCTTATCTTACTTCTTGAGTCAGGGTATCTAACTAAACCTGGGGCTCACTGGTAGGTGAAATGAGCTTCAGAGATCCTCCTGCATCAGCCTCTGCAGTACTGGGATGACAGGCACTCTGTTGCATCTCATTTTCTAAGTATGTGTTTTGGAGATCAAAATCAGACCCACATGCGTGTACAGTGACCATGTGTGCTTGTTATGTAAGTGACATAGATCAAACTCAGGTCCAGCTGCTTGAATGACAAGCATGTAACCAAGTGAACCATCTCTCCAGGTCCCTCCGTTTTTCTTTTTATACACTGACTTTCCCTGCTACTCTGAGAACATACTGCAATATAGTTCCATAGTTCACAGATTTTTATCAACCTCTGTTCACCGTAACCCCTTTGATCATAAACCAAAGTTCTCAGCTATTTTGCCAAGTGTGATCATCTGCTGGAGTCACTGTTAGCTTTAACTGCCAATTTGACACAACCTGCAGTCATCAGAGGGAGTCTGTCTCAAAATAACGGGATGACTTTCCTCGGGAAAGACGACCACTCAAGGTTGTCACTAGTCTCTACACAAACTCACACACATGTGTATGCACACTGTAACACATTTCTACACATATATGAATATTAATACACACATATATTTAAAATAGGAAACAGTGCTATGTCACTATTTGACTTTTACCCTGAAAAATGTGTCTACTTTGTACTATTTTGCTATTAATTGGTAAATGCTTATCTTGCTTTTTATGTCTTATAATTGTAAATATGTGCAAATATAGTGCTGAAAATGGTTTCCTAACTTAGACTGTGTTTTTGACCCAGACCCATTGAAGCAGAATTTCTGCCCTAGCTTATGTTAACCTTATATAGCCTGCATATCACAAATTAAGCAACAGGCTATAGAATCTGTCTAAAGATATACTTTCTGCCAGTGTAGCAAATTTACTCATTTTGGTTACTTTAGGGATGAGAAGTGATGCAGATGGGCTTCAAATCCCAGAGTTAAGGTTGCCATTCTAGTATGGACCAGTTCTCTCAGAGTGACTTTCAGAATGTCACTGAGAGAGTTGCTGTGATTATAAAGAAACACACAGCACAGTGATCAGAGGGGCAGTCAGAGTTTCAAACAAGTTCTTTGTGAATTTTAACCAAAGAGCATTTTGCATGCAGGCATCTTTTTCTTCCTCCCACAAGCCCTTCTTGACAACACAACAAACGGTAATCTGAAATCAAACACGACACTACCGACAGGACCCAACTCCAGCAGATGGAGCTGAGTGTAAATAGCTTCAGTTGCCAGTTACAATAAAGACAAAGCACACAAAGGCCCAAAACTAAATGAAGGGTGCTCAGAATTTGAAAGGAAAACAGGTAAGCACACAAGGTATAAAAACTACTAAAGTCCCTATCAGCATGGAGCCACATTCCCTCAAAGGTTGGCTGGAAAAGTCACAGCTGAGGCTGGTGTCCAATACAACATGGGCAAGCAGAATAAGGTTTAGCATGTTAAGGCACTTCCATTCAATCTACAAGGAACAGGAAAGAAAGATGCCAGGTTTCTGATCCATGTTGGGCTGGTGGGTGTACAACAGCTACTTTTGTTACCTAAGAATGAGGCATCCTGGATAGGTGGGATTACTTTAAGCCTAATAACTTGTGGGATGGTGAGATGAAGTCAATCAAATTGCATTCCAGTAGAGGACAAGATCTTAAGAGTCTCAAGAAAGAGAAACAACCCTTACCATGAATCATGTGGGAGGGCATGCATGTATCAAACTGGGCAACCTAAAAAATACTTTATAATTATTTTTTGTAGATCCTTTTGTCCTCAACACTATTTACATTAGTTCCAGCACCATCTGGATAGAGTATTAGATTTGTTCTCTTTGATCATATATAGCAAAGAACCTTGCTTTGCTATCTGTGATGTTTATAGCCCTCTTCTTTGGGGAACTGGTCATAATTTTCCAGCACCATGGCCAGCTCCAACTCTACAGCAGTATCCTGGGTATTTTGTTTTGTAGTTGTTATCACCCTAGGGTAACTTTGATCATGTTATTGAGCCCTATAGACTAGGAACTGGAGAGATGATTCAGTACATAAAATGCTTGCTATACAAACATCAGGACCTGAGTTCAATCATCACAACCCATGGAAAAGTGCCAGGCATGGTGGCACTTGCATATAAACCCGGAACAGAGGAGGCAGGGAAAGATCCCTGGTACTCACTGCTCAGTCAACCTAGCTGAACTAGTGAAGCCCAGGGCAATGAGAAAGCCCATCTCAAACAAACTGGATAGCTTCTAAAGGTCAGTTGATCTCTTACCTCTACACTCATGGACACACATGTGTACACACACACACACACACACACACACACACACACACACACACACACAAATGCATAACTGACACATACACAGAGTGTATATAGACTGAGAGCCCCATGAAAACAAAGCAAAAGCACCTGAACAACAAGCTCCAAAGCTGCTCGAAGGGTTTGCCATTGCCCTAGAGTCTGAAAGGCTTGGCTCTGTGCCTGGCCAAGGGCAGTCTGGTTCAAATGTACCAGTGAGCTGTATCTACTGAGCTTGAGTATCTAAAGGAGCACTTCAGGGCTGTAGAGATAGACAGTGGGTAAGAGAACACATTTTCTTGCAGAGGACTGGAGTTTGGGTGCCAGCACCCATCACAGAGTGGATGTTCATCATAATGTAATACATTAATGTAACATCATAATTATGTTACCTCAGAAATGACTGTAACTCCAGCTCCCAGGGATCCAATAACTTCTGGTCTTCCTGCACACCTACATGTATATGCAAACATACACACACACACAAAAAAAAATTATATGTATCTTTAAAGATCAGTTCTAGCAATCAGGTCAGAGCTTTAGAAATGTACATGGATTTTTCCTAGAAACAATCTGAACTGGATATCAAAAACATGAAATGGATATTATAACACACATTTTCCTGGCAGCCACTTGTTAGGAAGATAGAAACTCTCACTGTGTCCTGGTTTGCCAAGCCTGAGATCATATTTATTATTTCCTGATAAACAGAAATTACCCCTTCTATCTTTAATAATCATTATTGCCTACATGATTTTAAATTTTTCATTGTATACATCCATGTCTTACTTGCAGAAATTTTCATGTACATATACATTGTACATTGAGCATGCTCCATGCTCTACATGCACACTCCTTACCCTTATGTTCTAGATTCATTCTGTTGCTGTGA